GGCGAGACGCTGGTGACGGTGGCAGAGGAGAAGGTCAGCATCACAGACCTGAAGGCCCAGGTGGTCTCCAGCCTCTCGCTGTCCCTCCACCCCAGCCCTGGCAATAGCCACACCATCATCGCCCGGACGTCCGTGCAGCAGACCCTCAGCTTCCTCAAGCAGGTGAGGCTCGGGGGGGCTTGGGGTGGGGTGAGGGTGCTGTCTGCAAACCCACAGTCATCGCAGACCCCCACAGCACCCGCTGGTGTCCAGCCACCCTGGTGACCCCCAAAAGCACCCCTTTAGATCTGTGAACCAACCCTGGCCACCTGGGGCCAGGACACAACCGTGGGGACAAAGGGGTCTGGAAGAAATCCTATACGGTTCCCAGCCCAGCTGTGGTGGCCACATCTGGCACCTCTGGGGCTGGGACTTGGGGTGAGGCTGGGCAAGCTCGGGGAAAATTGAGGGAAGAACGGGCAAAAGGGAGAAACGAGGTGATGGTTGGAAGGAACAAGATGGATGATGGAGGGATAAAGGGGGAAATTGGATGGCGAGGATGAGGAGGAATGAGGTTTTTTTGGGTGGGACTGGTATTGTGCTGGGCAACCGGTGCCTGTGTTGGTCCCGCAGGAGGGGCTCCTGAGCCTGTGGATTTCCTACAGCGATGGCACCACGGCCCCGCTCTCCCTCTACGACCCCAAGGACTACAACCTGGTGGTGACCAGCCTGGATGAGAAGGTGGTCTCGGTGACCCAGGACCGGGCGTTCCCCTTGGTGGTGGCGGAGAGCGAGGGGGCGGGGGAGCTGCTGCGGGCAGAGCTGATCATCTGCGAGAGCTGCCAGAAGACCAAGCGCAAGAGCGTGCTCTTCACAGCCTTGGCCAGCGTGCGGGTCCACTTTGGGTCCGAGGAGGACCCGACCTATGACTACGACCACGTACCCAGCAAGCCGGGGCTGGCGGAGACGGGGGCGAGCACCACCCTGCGGGCAGAGGTGGAGAGGAAGCGAGGACAATAGGATGTCTAGTGTGTCGCACCCCACCGAGGACTTCCCCACCCTCCCCACTGGCTTCATCCAGGTGACCAGGGGGCTGACGGACCTGGAGATAGGCATGTACGCCCTCCTGGGTGTCTTCTGTCTGGCCATCTTGGTCTTCCTCATCAACTGTATTGTTTTTGTGCTGAAATACCGGCACAAACGCATCCCACCTGAAGGCCAGACCAACATGGACCATTCCCACCAATGGGACTTCTTGGGCAATGGGCAGCTCTTTTTTTTTGGCTCACAATGACCTCTCCCCCCAGCCCGAGAGCCCCGGGAACCCCCTGGAAAATGTCCAGACCTGCTGCCACGGGGACCACCATAGCAGCGGGAGCTCACAGACCAGCGTGCAGAGCCAGGTCCATGGCCGTGGGGACGGTTCCTCGGGGGGTTCCACGCGGGACCAGAGCGAGGACCCCCTCAACTCGCCCACCTCCAAACGGAAGCGGGTGAAGTTCACCACCTTCGCCACGCTGCCCTCCGATGAGCTGGCTTACAACTCCATCCCCATCGCCGATGAGGAGGACTTGGAGTGGGTCTGCCAGGACATGGGGCTGCAAGACCCTGAAGAGCTTCACAACTACATCCGCAGAATCAAAGAGATCGCTTAACGCA